CAGGACATTGGTTCGTTGTTCCAGCCGGCACATCTTTAAAACCTAAATAAGCAATAAATTATAAAGTAGGAAACCTATAATTGATGAGGGACTAAACCAAAGAGATGGTGGAATTTGTTAAAGAGGGAAAATGTAGTGAACATAATGAACATGTTATTAATAAAATGCTGAATTTACTGATTCACAACAGTACTAGTAGGTACTCTTTGGTAAAATTTTTCATACTTCTTCTATTACAACTGATCTTTCTTTGCAATTGATCTGGTAATACTCTTTACCACCAAATATTTTTACCTACCTGTCGAAACATTTTTATATCCCATTTCTTCCTATTTCTTGATGTAATATTGTAATGTAATAGTATAAGGGTGAGTTACTAAGCGCGCGGTGATCCATACTTCCTATACTAACGCAGATCGGAGAAAAAACTAAATATAAAACTTGTAAATAAATATGAGTACTACATTCCTAAATTATTTTCCAGTATACAGGGTGGCCTAATAACTAGTAGTGACATAAAGTTATGTTTTTTTAAATGACTCTCCCTGTATATTATGACATTTTCTGGATTCTGCGGAAAATTCTAGACATATTTCATGTATAATGTCATATACCTATCTTCAACTGTTTCGGAAATATTGACAGTTGAAAATTGAGTTTTTTGCATCTTTGACAGACTGTTTAACCTAAACTAGGGATAACAAACTATCGATAGGAATATCGATACTATCGATAGTTTTTTAATTTTCGATAGTATCGATAGACCTGCACCAATATCGATAGTTCCAATGTAGCCAAAGGTAAATGAAAACATCTGTATATTGAGGGAATTATAAAGAAATCTGTAGTCTTTTGGAGAAATCTGTAATTATTTTTGGGGATAGACATGCTGTGCTGCCAATTTTTCGGTTAGGAGGAGTGACGAGTGACTTTGATGGGCTTGACGGAGGTTGGAGGTTAATGTTTATCGTAATTAATTACAAATTTGGTTACTTTGGTCAGAGCAAACTATCGATAGTACAATCGATAGTTACTATCGATGGGTAGGCCATTCTATCGATATCACTATCGATAGTTTTTTTTTCGATAGTTTGTCAACCCTAACCTAAACGGTTAATTTTAGAGGAAAACGGATTTTACATTCCTGTCTTAGATTTTCATAAGCTATCATTTGACACCAACTTTGAATTTAACCGAAGATTAATAATTTAGGCGGAATTTTTAGTCATGGATAAAATTCAAGATTGGTGCCAAATGATAGTTCATGAAAAACTAAGATAGGAATGTAAAATCCGTTCTCTTGTAAAATTAACCGTTCAGGTTTTACAATCTGTAAAAGATGCAAAAAAGTCATTTTTCAACTGTCAATATTCCCGAAACAGTTGAAGATAGGTGTATGACATTGTACATGAAATATGTCTAGAATTTTCCGCAGAATCCAGAAATGTCATAATATACAGGGGGAGTCATTTAGAAAAACATAACTTTGTGTCACTACTAGTTATTGGACTACCCTGTATACTGGAAAATAATTTAGGAATGTAGTACTCACGTTTATCTACAAGTTTTGTATTTAGTTTTTTCTCCGGAGATATGGACCACCGCGCGCCTTGTAACTCACCCTGTATATAATTTTTTCACATATAGAAACAAATAAAATAAAGTACCTACTCAAATTGATGATTGATGATGTGGCAACGTGCATGGATGATTTGTTTATATAGTTCTTAAATATTTCGCATTTAATAGAGTTTGTTGATTTTAAATGATAAAATTGATTTCAATTTATAATTTAACAGTTTCTGTAAGTATTGGTATAAAAATACTAACAAAATATACTAATTTTAAGTGTAACTGTGTGATTGTATTACGAGCTGATCGTGGGCGGAACGCCCAGTGTTGCCAAGATGCCCCGTGAAATAACAACCTGTGATATTTGTAAGAAGGGTGTTGTTGATGGCCAAGAGGCATTACTTTGTGATAGTTGCTTTGTATGGAGACATCGTAACTGTTTGTCCTTATCCCGTAAAGAATTTGCTCAGCTTAGTGAAACATCGAACCCATGGTTTTGTGGCGAATGCAAAAAAACTGAAAGTAAGAATTATACCCTCAATGATGTTATGTTCAAGCTCAATGAAATGGATCGTAAGTAAAACGATTTATTTATAAAATTTAATGAATAGGTAAAAATTAATGAAGAGCTAAAGGGTGAAATTGTGGAAATTAAGAAGCAATTAAATAAGAAAGAACAAAATGAAATCAAAAATAATATAATCATACAAGGAGTACCTTTCAAGGAAAATGAAAATTTACTGGAGCTAGTTACGAAGATTGGTGAAAAACTGGATACTAACATTCATAGCAGAAGAGTTGTTATGTACAGAATCGGTAAAAATGAAACTAAAAGTTCTGGAATCAAGGTTATATTTGAGGAGGCACAAGCTAAAACAGCAATAATGAAAAACAAGAAAAGATTTGACCTTACTATTAAAGATTTGGGATATCGTACAGGATCAGATGCAAAGATATTTATAAATCATGATCTAACGAGGTCAAACCTGGAACTCTTCAAAGCAGCGAAACAATTCAAGAGAGACAACAATTTCAAATTTTTGTGGATTAACGATGGTAATATATTTCTTCGAAAAGAGGATGCATCAAAGGTAATTTTGATAACTGGCGCTGAGCAGTTAAAAAATTAATGCGGCCTCGCAATAAGCTACAGATACACTATATGAATGCTCAAAGTGCGAAAAACAAAATAGACGTTTTACAATTATATGCTATAAATGAAGATTGTGATATCCTATTGTTATCAGAAACATGGTTTCAAGAACAAGAGGTTTTTCTGTACAAATTAAATAAATATATAAAGCAGTACATTCTTGTCGTGATAGTAGGGGAGGGGGAGTGACAATTTATGTTAAAGAAAATCTAAAATTCTGCGAATTGGAAAAAAGCAACACCACTGACCCCTTCAACTGGATTTGCATTAATGTACGGGATACAAATTTAAAAGTTAGTGTAATATACAGACCACCTTCCTATAATTATGTTGATTTTTTATCAAAATTGGAAGATATTTTGCAAAAATATCCCAGAAATCATGTAATGATAGGGGATTTCAATATAAATTTGTTAAACCATGATGCAACTATCACAAAAAATTATAGGAATGTTTTAGCTCTAAATAATTACTTAGTCCATAATGAAATTGCACTTGATAAAGCTACTAGAGTTGCGAAGAATACTAGCACGATAATTGATCATGTTATTTCAGATAAAAATTCAGGTATTAACTATGGGGTTGATGTTCAGCCTAATTCTATCTCTGACCATAACTGTTTGATAACTACTGTTCGAACCAATATAGAATGTAACAAACCTAAACGAATTTTTGAGAGGAAGATTATAGATTTTAGAAAGTTTCAAGATTTGTTTCAAAATAGAGTTTCTAATAGTAACGTTTCATCATTTAAAGAACTTATTGAAATAATTATCGATTGTAAGCATCAATCCGAAAGGATAGTTACATATATAAATGTCGGGAAAATAATAACTGGATGAATTGTGAGGTTCTGGAAATAATGAAGCAGCGTGATAAGGTCTATAGGCAGAAGAGTAGGGATCCGAATAATATACAACTACAAAATAGTTTTAGAAAAATTAAAAATGATATAAGTAATAAAATTAAGACACTGAAAGATCAGTATTTTCAAAGAAAATGGAAAAACGCAGGTTCTAATACAAAGAAACAATGGCGCTTCATTAACAGTTTAATTAAAGATACATCAACTGATAATCATATAAGTCACCTGAAAGTCAATAATCAAAAAATAACAGATCAGACAGATATAACCACAAGTCTTAACAAGCATTTCGCAGAAATTGGTCAATCAATTGTAAGCGAGTTGGAAAAAGAAATTACGGTTAAAAAATTTAGCAAAACGGGTAGAGAAATATCTTGTGAAAATACATGTTTCGTAAAACAAACTGATGAAAGTGAGATTGATAAGATTATTTTAGGGTTAAAAAAAGATGCAGCTTCAGGTGACGACCAAGTAACAGTTCTAGATCTCTTAAATTTGAAGTCGGATCTGCTTCCAGTCTTAACTAAACTTGTAAATAAGGTGCTAAATACTGGAATTTTTCCAGAAGAACTTAAAATTAGCAAAATAAGTCCTATAAATCTGGCGATAAGGGTTGTATGAACAATTACAGGCCTATTTCAGTGGTTGGTGTGTTTTCTGGGATTCTTGAAAAAATAATCAAATCCAGAATGGTCTCATTTTTAGATAAATATGTTCCCCTAGATATTAATCAATATGGATTTGTAAAAAATAGTTGCACACTTAGTGCTACAACAGATTTGGTGGATTGTATATCAAGGGTCTTGGATTCCAGCCAGATTGCTGTGGTAGTTTTTGTTGACCTAAAGAAGGCTTTCGATGTGGTGAACATTGAAATTTTGTTGAAAAAATTAAGAAACATGGGATTCAGGGGTGTTATGTTTGATCTTATCAAGTCTTATCTTGTTGGCAGGAGACAGTATGTAAAATTGGGAAGTACGAAAAGTGCAATATTAGGTAACACCTGTGGGGTGCCGCAGGGGTCAATTTTGGGTCCGCTTCTTTATTCTCTGTATGTTCTCAATCTAAAATTTGCTAATTTAAAGGGAATATATTTCATATACGCAGATGATACAGCATTGGTTTATATGGGTAGCGATGTTAAAACATTAAATCAGGAAATTAATGCTGATCTTATGAATTATGTAGACTGGTTATACTGCAATAAACTGAAAATTAATGTAGATAAAACGAAGTATATGGTGTTCAAACAAAAAAACAAAGTTACTGAAAATTTAAATATTCTTATTAATAATATAGTAATAGAACAGGTTTGTATAATGAAGTATTTGGGATTATTTTTGGATAGTAAACTTAGTTGGAGTTATCACATAGAGCATATAACCAATAAATTGATCCCAATGATTTCAGCTCTATTTAAACATAGATATTATTTGTCATACAAAAGTAAATTAGATGTATATAATGCATATTTCTTATCTCACCTAAGATATTTGTTGCCCATCTATGGTACTTTGTAATTTAACAAACTTCAATGCAGTGCAAATATTACAAAACAAAGTTTTAAAGATATTATTTAATTATGATAGATTAACGAGTACAGAAAGACTTTATAAAGAATTAAAAGTTTGTAAAATTTTTGAACTACTGGAATTTGAACAATGTAAACTTATGTATAAAATTTTAAATAGGACACAAAAAACTAATATAAATATTGTATTTGCAAATGATATACATGAACATAGAACTAGATCTCAAAACAGTATTTATCTCACAAGAACACTTACTAATATAGGTCTAAACAATCCAATAATTAAAGCATCAAAAGCGTACAATAAGTTACCAAATGAAATTAAGAACATAGGAAATTATAATGCATTTGTTAAAAAAGTTAAGATAAGTTTTGATCATTAAGATTTAAGTATATTCTTTTGTTATGTTGATTTATTATTAAATTAAAAAAGGCATCCAGCACTGATAATGTTAAGTAGCTATTCTCGGGGCCAGTGATTTTACACTGATTAGAGAAATTTGTAACCAAATGTTGTTATTATTTATTGTTATCAATAAAGTCGTTTTCAAAAAAAAAAAAAAAAAAAATTTATTAACTATACCCAATCTAATCTACTATACATACTAATATACCTAACTACTTAATTTTTTTCAATACAATTTCTCTCCTATATGCCTTCTTATAAAAATCATAAAACATGTAATACAGAAAAATAATGTTCGGCATGTAGAAAACAGTGAAAATAGCATAAGCTTTGTTAACTTTACAATACGGAAGCAGTGGCGGCACCAGATGCAAGAGCAGCAATGTGAATTGGATCTAGAAAAAAAATATTTGAAATGTACTTATGTGGATACTTTTTCAAACTTTAATGTACCATTTGAGCTCTCGTTATCCAAGGTTTCCAAGGATTGATACGTTTTTGCCAGACGGGTCCCTTCGAGGACAAATAATAGTACGTGTACATTAAAACATGTATGAAGCAGTTCATCATGAGGTGTACTGATGGCATTGGTCCTAGTAAAAGCAATACAATTATTATTACAGAAGAGAATCTTCTTTCAAGGGCGGTTGGTCACCAAGATATCTCATCATATTAGTACTTTCAAAGTCAGTCATTTCACCCTTTTCTATTTAAAATAAAAAAGATAAAACAAAAAAAAACACGTCTATCAGTGAGGAAATTACTTGGAAGTAGGTAATATTTGCACCACCATATTCACGACTCTGTTTTTTATCCTCAATATTATTGTCTCCTTTATTATTTTGTTCTCCATTATGTCATGATGAATTTCATTAATTTCTACTTCAATCACATGTTCTTCCAAGTTCCCTTTATCTTTATCCAAATTTGGAAAGGGCGCTCGATAATTCGTGTAGATTTGAAATCGAAGCGAAGTATTATGGTTTAAGAATCACAATCTTACCTCCAATGTATTTACAACTAGTCCAAGCCACTATCAACGTCGACGTATGATGGTAAACATGCAGTGCAGAAACTTGACTAAATTTCTTTCTAAGCACAAAAAAAATCGTTTCAATAAGTTCAGTTAATTTCAAAAAGTAGGCCCAATGTAAAGCTTGCAGCAACGATAGGGCTTTTGGATCTTTGCTGGAATAATCCATCAGTTGGCATCCGAGAGTGTAATCGCCTTGCACCCAACCAGATGTTGCAGTCTATAAGAAAATCAATTTATTTCCAATTATTTAGGTATAAAAATACTTGCCCAATATATAAGAAAAAGACACGTAGCCACCTGTCCGAGATTGTATACCCTAATAACTCTTGTTAAGTTGAAAGGCTTACGATTTTGCATAAATTCTGGCAAAATTTTGTACACAAGCAACAAATAAACCGCGATTATGGCAATGTTAGGCCAAAAAGTTGACATCAGGAGCCAATTTGAGACTCGTTCATCTAAAACAGGGATGAATCGTTGGAATGTTTTTCAAGTTAATGTAAGTAGCACTCACCTGCTCCGTTTTCCAGATTTCTCCTTATATTTGCAATTATTTTCGATGCCATTTTTGTCACAATTTACAAAACACTTACCGTAGTAGGTACAAGAGTAACCCTGTATACATATGCCGTTTTGCTTTAGTTTTCTCTGAAATAAATTATGCAAAAAAATTAGTGATCATGCAAATACCTAAAAATTAATCCGAAGGTAGAATTATTATCATTATTGAGTCAAAAATGTTTTTTTTTTAATTGCAATTGCATTGCAACATATTTTTTAATGGTTTTTAAAATCACAAAAAACTAATTTGTGGGTCGAAACAAAATATAAGGTTGGGTATTTTTTTAAAAATGTATGGCGACTGCTATATTATTTTTTGCAATAATAATAATTTTCTGTTATAACAACTCAATATTTATAGGTACTTTTCTACAATTTATTTTATTAAACTGAAAAACGAAGAAACTAATCTACAGCTACAGATTAAACTAAGATAGCGAAAACTTTATCTTAATATTCAATTTCCAATTCAGCTTGAGCAAAATAAATTTGAAGACAAAATTCTTTCCACTGCATACCAATGAATTGGACCTGTGGATTATGAAAAAATCTGCTAACATTTATTCATAGCAACCTAATGTCAGATCTTATATCGATTTTTTTTTTGGAATGTAAAGACTTTATTTTCTTCATATAGATTTTTTATCTTTAAAATTTAAAATTGTATTTATGGATATATTTCTTTGAAAAGTAATAATCTCTTGCATTTTTCTGGCTTCTGAAGCTTTGTACCTGCACATTTAGCAGATTGGTATGACACAGCACTTAGGCCACAGTGGGCCCATAGTGCGTTTCCACAAGAGGAGAGGTCATCCTTAGCTCATCATCCAGCCTTACGATTTAACATAGGCGATGAAGTCGCCGAGAGCGGTGCCTCTGATATCTTCTAGTGATGGGTACGATTGGCCTAATCTGGCTCTGAGTTTTGGCGAAAGAGCAGTGCAGTCACCAAGTGTGCTCCATCGTCTCTCCTTCTCCCTACACAATAGTGTGGTGCTAAGATGCAAGCTGAATAAATGTGTGGCAATGGACAGATAAGAAGGCCGTTATTAAGTGACAAGTGTAGTCTTCTCCTGGTCAACAACAGTATCTGGGTAACTTTAGCAGCTCCTTGGATAAGTCGCAGCCAATCGCATTGTTCCAGCGCTTTTTCAAAAGGGTGTGGGAGCGTTCTTTGATCATATCTTCGGCCGCCGACATGGTCAGCCCCACAAAGGGCTCTGGTCAAAAAGGCTATAGCCTAGCGGCTCTCCTAGCCAGAGCATCGCAGCCCGATTGCCTTTGCTATGATCATGTCCTTTGATCCAGCTGACTACCACCGGCCACCGTGTTTTTTATCGACGCCTCTGTGAAAGTAGGTACGTTGGCAATGTTGTGCCATTGTTTAGACAGACGATGAGGATGTCCAGAACATAGAGTCCAAAACTATGTTCCACCAGAAAACGCCTCTCTGCAGGCAGCCTCGTGTGACCATGCCTTTAATGTTGATATCCTTATCCTACACACTTATCTACACGATTCTTTTGGAAAGCATATTGTGTGATATTTATCCGGTTTCTGGAGTATTCCTTTCTAGTTTCTGTTAGCAAGTGGCTAATTTTTTGAAAGGTGGTTTTATCAATTTATCAAAGGCCCCTTCAATATCAGGGCGTTCCATATGAAAAACAGTTCATCCATGTTGTAAAACTTTGGTTTTTGGTTCAAATAATTTTTTGGTACCTACCTACCATTTTTGAATTCTCCAGAAAAAAAAATAATCCCATAGGATATTTTAAATTTTCCAAAAATACAGGAAAGGTCAAAAATAAGCTCCTGTTCAGTCCTCGTTGGAATACCCTGTACCTACTCTTAAACTCTAACTTAAAAGTGATGGAAGTCATTTATTTAACTTTCTGCGTAAATCCTCATCTTCAAAAGTTTCATAATTCCGCGAAACACAGACCGGCCCAACCGTCCGTACATTTTAATTTGATTACCACTATTATTTCCAGGCCGCATTTTAATTTTTCTACTTTTTCCGTGGCACTCAAGGGCAGTAGCGCACCCAGGGGGGGGAGGGCATCGTTCCAGGGTCCCCCTAGGCCGGCCGTCCAAAACTGCATTTCCAGGGCCTAGCCTCGTATCCGTATCCGAGAACATATTTCACCCATTTTAAAGATCTTTCGGTCGGTTATCACTAAAATAACTTTAATAACATAAACACAGTACTTATAGATTACCTACAAACCTAGCTACAAAACCAACAAACAGCTACAAAATCAACACAACACTTTTTGAGGTTAGAAAACGGTTTTATCCAAGGATACGATCGTTTACGTAATCTATGGCCATGCTTAAACGCAGTTTTAGGCGGTCAACGTAAATCGATGCGTTTACGGATGCGGATAAGGATACGTAGGAAAATTTAGGGTTTGCTTAAAGTGTCTACTATATCAGAGCGTGACACCCTGACACCTCCATTTTTTGTTTACATTTTTAGACACAATCCACAACCTATGTAGTCCCCTCCCCATTACCTAAACTCGAAACAGATTTTCTGGGTGCGCCGGTGCGCCACTGTTCAAGGGATAGGTTAGGCGCCCACAAATATATTTTGCCCTGAGGCCCACTCGCACCTAGATCCGCCACTGGCTTCACTTCACAAACAATAACAACTTTTATTGAAAAAAATTGATTAAAAGTTTACTCATCATTTATCGAAGCGTAAACTACAAATCTTCGTATTTGAACTGACTTCCAAATGACTAGTAAGCTCTATTTATAGAGGCGACATCGTGCTTGCACTGGCGTAACTATCATAGGGCAGTTCTGTACAAATCACCGAGGCCCCCGAGGCTTGAGGGGCCCCTCATTTATCATAAATACCTTTTATTGAATCTGACTATAAAATCGAGATGTTAGTTCAAGGTTGTCACCGCTTTAATTATGCAAATAAGGCAATCTGAAAATAAAATCGAAATGTTTATGTTAGTTCAAGGTTGTCACCGCTTTTGCATACATTAAGTGCTGACTCATAGATAGGCAATTACTTATACATAATTGAAGTCGGGTAAGTGTTTGGAAGAAGCCCGGAGAGGTCAGGAAAGGGTTGGATAAGGTCTGGAGAAATCTAGACAAGTCTGGATAAAGTCTAGCTAAGTCTGGAAAAGTCTGGATAAGTTTGGATAAAGTCTGGAAAAGCCAGAAAATTTCTGGAAAAATCTGGAAAAGGCTCTATTAGGTCTGGAGAAATCTAGACAAGTCTGGATAAAGTCTGGAAAAATCTACCTAAGTCTGGAAAAGTCTGATAAAGTCTGGAAAAGCCTGGAAATTTCTGGAAACGTCGGAAAAAGGCTGGATAAGGTCTGGAGAAATTCAGACAAGTCTGGATAAGGTCTGGAAAAGTGTATTTGAAGTCGGGAAAGTGGGAGAAGTCCGGAGAGGTCAAAGGGCTGGATGAGGTCTGGAGAAATCTAGATAAGTCTGGATAAAGTCCAGCTAAATCTAGAAAAGTCTGGATAAGTTTGGATACAGTCTGGAAAAGCCAGAAAATTTCTGGAAACTTCTGGAAAAGGCTCTATTAGGTCTGGAGAAATCTAGACAAGTCTGGATAAAGTCTGGAAAAATCCAGCTAAGTCTAGAAAAGTCTGGATAAAGTCTGGGAAAGCCTGGAAATTTCTGGAAACGTCTGGAGAGGGCTTGGTAAGGTCTGGAGAAATTTAGACAGGTCTGAATAAAGCCTAGCTAAATCTGGAAAAATCTAGATAAAGTCTGGAAATTTCTGGAAACGTCTGGAAAACGCATGGAAATTTCTGGATTGGGTCGGAAAAATTCTGGAAAATTATTTTGATGGACTTGATTTAAAAAAAAAAAAGCGCGCGAAGCGCGTTCATGACCTAGTTTGTAATATGTAATATAGGCCAAGGCACCAAGCGAAATAACAGCCATATTTTAACATGAAATTTAACAGCAAACTATCGATGCAGTATTGTTAAGGATCACTAAAAACCAAAAATGCAATAGTGCTAGAGCATTGAACAAGCTTTAAAATGAGCCATCATACAACCCTGTAGGTCTTTTAGTCTTCGAAAAATGATTTTTTCTCCAAACGTCACTTTGTTAACTCCTGTCAAGATATCAGAAATTTGATTTCTATGCTGCTAGGCAAATCCAGTGGGTTAACACCTGGCGAGATGGTAGAAGTTTAATTTCTATGCTGCTGGGCAACCCCAGCGGCAGCAAAAGTACCTTTAGTGCCGCTCGTACTTTTACTGCCGCTGAACCATTCACTAGCCCCCGAGCTTACCCCATTTGTTTGGAGAAAAATTAACGTATTGCATACGCAGTAGAAGCACTTTTTTGTGCTTCAGCAGTATTGCAAGCCTCGCTACGTTCGGGATCGGTTAATTTTCATGTGCTTAATAACATATTAAGTTTGCGACCTTGTATTTTCATAGGGTTTTTAGTTAGGAGTGGTTTTTAGAGGTAATTTGCGGTTTATGGAGAACGCTGCACAAAAAAAACCACCCCTAACTAAAAACCCTATGGAAGTACAAGGTCGCAAACTTAATAATTATGTTATTAAGCACATGAAAATGAACCGATCCCCCCCAAAAAATGTTAACTTCTAATTATGTTGAGGTAAACTTCCTTCATTGCTTGGCCTATAGTAGATGAGGCAGGCTTTATTGAGCCCAAATTTGGGCCCGGTCCGATGGGTCGTTTCGGCATAATACCCTTGTCAAGCAAAATGGGGATGTTTCTAAAGAAGTCTGTCGAATTGAGGATAATTTTTTTATATTTATTTTGAAAAGTCCACTGATAAGTCGAAATGCCAAACTATCGATCCTCTATCTCAGATTTTCCATTTAATTTTTTTATCGCAAGTAAAACGGCTTCGAACATGACTGAAAATGAAAAAAATTGACGGGAATTCAAACGGAGTGACAGCGAGCTCCCCCCCGCCCACGCAAATTACATTTATTTTCCATTTTCAGTGATGTTTGGAGCCGTTTCACTTGCGATAAAAAAATTAAATGGAAAATCTGAGATAGAGGATCGATAGTTTGGCATTTCGACTTATCAGTGGACTTTTCAAAATAAATATA